GGCCAATTTCAAGCAAGTTCGCTCGAAGGAAGCCAGCGAGGCGTGGCAGGTGTTTCTTCGATCTTCATACCTGACTAGAACATCAGTGACAACAATAGCAACGCAATCCGTATTGTTGGCATCTTCATGGTAATCGCACATGAAAGGGCATCCCTGGTCTCTGATGCGAAACGCCACGGCCGGGAAAGCATCCGGCAATCCGGCATTCGTTTGCAACACCACTGGGTGCCACTGGCATCCTCTTCCCCACAAGTCCCTTTGCAATCCGTCGCAGATGGGCCCTGTACACTCAGTCAAAGACCCCTTCTACATCCCCTAGCCAGAGACCTGAGCCGAGCTTGGACCTTTTAAACCTTCTGTTTTTGTATTTATTCAAAGTCTCTTAAACCCAAGAAGAAAACAAAATCAAACATCCTAAGGACCTACTCATTGCCCCTTTAAGCCCTAAGCCCTAATGCAGGCTCTAAAGCCCGTAAGCCCCTGAACTCCAAGGTTCCGAGGGAAACATTCCAAGCGCCGGCCCCTTGGATCCGCAGGCTCAAGAGCAAACCTCCCTGGAGGCGGCGAAGAAGGCCGACAGACGTACCTCGAGTTTAGGGTTGAAAAGGGTTTCGGGCCTAGATGGCCTCAAAAATTGGAAAAGAAATATTCCTAAAAAGTAGAGGCAAGCCGGTTTATAACACAGAGGTTGCTCGAAAGGATGTTCAGGTGGTGTTCAGGCCTGTAGTGTTTTCGCCTATCTCCACAGAGGACCTTGGTTGAGATCCTAGACGAGGCGAACCCACGGTGCGATAACTATGTATTTGGTGCTTGGTGCAGGAAGCCGCGCATCTGCTGCGGTCCTACCCTAAACCCAAAACCCCCAACGCCTAAGCGCCAACTCCTTCCACCCGCGCCCCGACCAGGGTAGAAACAATTCCAGCGTTCTCAATTGTGGGCTGTTCACGCGCCGCTGTTATAGCCTAGCTAGTTTAGGGTGCCAAATTGGGCCCCTACTCTAGAACAATCCCCTAAGCCCAAACCATTTTTAGGGCTTTCGGGCCTGAGTTTGGGAGTTAGGGTTTGGAGCTTACCCGGAACCCTGCCCAGTTTAGAGAGTTTTGGGTTCTAAAGGCTTTTCGGGCTCAGAAGGCTCATATGGTTCAGCTGTTGGCCTCGCCATCTTCAACACAGGCCCGGCAGGAGCATGAGCGAGCGCTCCGTGAGGCGGAAGAGGCCAACAAGGCCTGCGCATGTCTCTGTCTCTGTATGTGATGTATGTGTGTGTGTGTGTGTGTGTTTTACATGTACAGATATTGTGAGAGATCACTTGATAGGTGCATTGCAGGTTCTGGGGTGTGAGCAAGGGATGTCCAAGGTCCAACAGTTGAGGCGAAGGTTGGGAGGTCGAGTCGCTTAAGGAGGATCATGATGGGTTTAAGGTTCGGGCTTCGAGGCAGTTCGATTGCCGTCTCCCTGATCCCACTGTTCTCTTGCTGAAAACCTCGTGTGTTGATCAGAGAGCCGAACAAGGAAGCGAGGGGTCAAATCAAAGCGATTTTGTCGGGATTTTGTTCATCCTGCTTCGGAGAAGGCCTGTAAGCCCTCCACCCTCAACCCTCAGGTTTCGTCTTCCTTTTGGAGCAGCATCCTGTGCTGCTTCGACCGCCGTCGTCACCTCAACTGTCTAGCGTGCAGATGCTTTGTGTTCAATCTTGGAGTTGTCGCGCGCCGTCCGAATGGGGCTATTTGGACTTCGCACCGTCAGCCTCCAAATCAGGAATGACAACCAAGACATCGAAAGAAAGGCCTCAACATTCGAGTGGTAAAGTATCTAGAAGACTTTGCCGCGTTAGCCGTGACGCAAAGCAATGTATCAAAATCCAAGGTTGTTGCTGCATGTGACTGGACCACGGCGACCTTTCAAGAGTAGGAAAAGCACTTGCAAGATACCCAGAGACTCCAAGACCCTGAAAGTAAGACAGAAAGTCTATACATCCCACTTTTCTCAGAACATTTCTGAAATCATCTTCGGACCCCGCGTACTGTGTAAGGACTAGCCCGTCCTTCAGGGATACTAGAGTCTCTGGCAGACGATTTTCCACTGCGGCTGTTTGGATGGGCTAAAGCCTTAACCAAGTGTAACTTTACACTTGCCCCTCACAGCCTCGCAGCCTATCCAAGCACGAATGGAGCCAGGCTCCTCTACGACAGTTTCGATGCTAATTTGGCCACATGGGCTCGTGCTCTAGGAGTCCGCGGGTCTTCCGTGCCCAGAGACCCTTCCCTAAAGCCTAAATCAGTGCGACGAAACCGTCAACCAGTTCACCTTAAGCCTTAAACCTAAGCCTCGAACCATGCCAAAAAGACAGGACCTGAAACTTTGAGAAGCTAGACAGCTCAGGAGAGGCTAAGTGTGTCAAACTCCAATTCTTCTAAAAAACAAGAGAACCTCTGGGGCCTCAAGGCGGCGACGTCACAAGAAACGTCTGCTCCACGCAAAACCCAGCCCGGACGAAGTCCTGACACGAATCAAGCCAGATTTCAAGCTGCAAGGTCGTTTCGACTGAGCCCACTTCAGAAGTAGCCATCGGCTCCGCCAGGCTTAAAAGCCCGAACAGGATCAGATCAGGTGCGCTTAAACAAAGCCGGCAAGGGTGTGGAAGGAAGGCTTGCGCTTCAGAGCTTCTCAGGCTCTTCCTACCGTAATCCCTAAACTGCGTAATCGCGGGGATGAGCGACATTCGGGCGTGGGCAGAGGTCAAGCACTCGCGCAGACGTGTCGATAATAAAGTCTGTAAGTGTCTATGCCATGAATGATATGTGACGATAAAATTGGCGGGTACCGTTTCTGAGTGCTACCAGTAGACCAAAGATGCTGAACCCTTCGCCTTTTAGCCCATCTTACGACCCTCACCGTGAGGGCCGCGTGCTTTCCCCGAAGTAATCTTAGGGGGCCCGCGCTGCTGTCAAGAGCAGGGCAGGGGTGCACCGTGGGCGCACAAAGCATCATTTGAAACGAAAGCTCGCCCAGGGGTATTCCGCGCATTTGCCAGTCATAGCATCACCGTCAATCCAAGAAGAAAGCTTGCGGGCCCGAAGCCTTCAGCGGTCGTCGTCGTGGTTGACGTGGTTGTGGTTGTGCTATTTGTTGTTGCTGTTGCTGTAGCCGCCACAGCTGGTCTACATTGTGTTTTTTGAGCTTGAGGGGTTGGGCACTTAGGATGTCAGGGTGCAAATTTTGGGTGCATGATTTGGTGTTTAGGGTCTGGAAATGCTTGGGGTCGTGTGCTTGGAGAGCAGCTTCGACATATGGGCCTCTGGCTCGAGCAGATGGGTAGATGGTATCCACGTATTGTCTCGGATCTTTTTCTTGCACTCAACATCCCTAGGCAAAAGCCAGCAATCATCTGGTTGTATAGACTCCAACCTTCACATAGAACGCGCAAGTAGCAAAAGATGGATACTTTGTGGTTTGGAGTTGCCCTAAGCGTTTGTGGCACTGCTCACAGCGTCATGCCAGAGCTGTCTCAGGAGGAGGCATGGTCATGGGCATTGAATTCCAAACGATGTTGGGAACTCCTGCTTGCTCCACTGTCTGGACTCACAAACTCGACTGCCTGATGCGAATCCTCTTCGGGGCTGATTAGTCAAAACTTCTTGTTCCATCGGTTCTTTCCCACTCTAGAGGCACCTCACTTGAACAAGATGGCGTGATGGCATGCCTTGTTGGAGCGAAGTCCTGTTCCCGAAGTCGGAGCTCCCCAAGCCCAACAGCCTTTTCGAGTCTTGCACAAAACGAAATTTTTCTGTTTTGCAGGAGCACAGCTAAAGTCCTGAGTGCCGAGGCTCTTTGACTTTGGCGAAAGGCTCAGGTTGGGGTGGTAGGGGTTTAGGGCTTAATTTAGGGTCAGTGTCCGGTATCGCTGTAGCTGTAGCTTAATTCATTTAGCTAAGGTACACGTCCGAATCATCGGCCTCTACAATACTGCCGGCATAGAGACCTTGACGTGTTCACAGAACCCATCCACACTTTGAACCCCTATTCCGCAACATCCCGTACCCTGAAAGCACTAGCGCAAGGACCGGAACCCTAAACCCTAAACCCTAAACCCTAAACCCTAAACCCTAAACCTCAAACACAGGAGGCGGCCTTGGCCAAGATCCAGGCTGCAGCAAGTAGGGCGTCGATGTCCGGACCGGTTTTCCATTTGGCAGGGCTCGAATGTGGGCTTCAGGGGCGGGATGCGGATCAAAAAAACATTTATTTAGGATCAAGAAAAAATTTATTTAGGATCAAGAAAAAATTTATTTAAACCCTAAACCCTAAACCCTAAACCCTAGGGTTCGGGCCTGGCAGCTCTCTGCCCTCCAGGAGCTCAAGCGAGGCGCCGCCACCAGTGCTGCAGTGGGTGACCTGCTTCATGGGGGTTTAGGGTTTAGGGTTTAGGGGCAGGGACTAAAGAATGTCCTCAAGCTGTTTTGGAGCAGCTGTAAGCCTTATACCCGAAAATCCCCAAAACAGCAACAACACCCCACCCCGCAAACACTTGAACCTGAGCACCCTACCAGTATCTGATTCACCCCCACCTTGTCCTCGGTGCCATACTTTTTGCATGCGGCGGCGGTGTCACCACCGCCAATGACCTGGTGTTCGTCTGTGTACAGGTACAAGTTCGGTATGTGGCTGGAGCATAGGTGTAAGAAGCCTCCGGACTACTCAACCAAGCACTCAGGACACTACTCAACCAAGCACTCAGGACACTACCACTAGAAGGCAGACTTCAGCGAGCTCAAGGTCCCCTCTCGACTGTCTCGTGGACCAAGTCTTCGGTTCGGGTTCGAATGGTGCCATCGTCTTTCCTCCCAAACCCTAGACCATGCAGAGCCCAGTTCATAGTTCTGACCGATAAGCACCTTCATTCCCACCACTTCCTACGATGCAGCCCCTCAACCCTGAACCCTAAACCCATTGCCACAAATTAGGACCAACAAAAAGCAGAAACACCCCCCCCCCCTCGTTAGCTCAGCCGGGTGGCAGTGATGACGCCTGCACCCGTCGCCTCGACCACGGCGTCCATGAGCTTCTTGGTGCCTCAGGGTTTAGGGTTTAGGGTTTAGGGTTTACGTACGAACTGAGATAAACAGCTACGGTTAAACATCAGCGGATCATCACCCCATGATCCTGAAACAGCTACTGCCTTTTGCTTACGACAACCATCAGTAGAGGCAGGTGTGAATTAACCTTTCAGGAAGCTTTGACCTTCACCCAACAGTGTGTCCCTGCCCACTACTGCTGACCGAGATTGTCAGGTTAGGCTAGGTAGTCATGGGTCATGAGTCATTTCTCTGAAGGCCACACGTGCTTCTACGTCTTCGGCAGGGATACCGATCTCGAACTTGGACATCTCGAACACGCCCATCGGGCCGTTCCAGATGATGGTCTTGGACTCTGCCACAGCCTCAACTCTTGGATTCAAGGATTCAAGGGGTTGCTTAGGAGGCTTTGGGATTTCGGGAGCTTGAAAGCCTCATACGTCTGTACCACTGTACCACTGTACCACTGGAAGTGGCCTCAGTGACGATGATCCCACTGCCCTCGACCGTAGCAGCTTGAGGCGTCTCTTCATGTCTGCATGCAAAGCAAGTTCACTATCAAGAGCCACCACAGTAGACAATATGCCGTTGGCTCTTGGCCAGATCGCCAGGAACCGCTAACCCTCATCCCGAGGCCCTGCAAGTCTAACGCTTGTGGTAAGTTGATGAACCCGCCGACGCCCAGGCCTTGGCATTCAGCTCGATGGACTTGGGGCCACAATCAAGGCCCATGAAGCCTTGATGCTTTGCAAGTGTCGGGAGCACAGTGGAGATGGTCAAGACATGCTACACTCCGACCCGAAGCTGAAAGTCCACACCTCGCACACGAAGAAGGCCGTGATACACTGGGGCTCACAGCTTTCAGGGTCTTCATTCGTGTGGGCTTAGTTTCTGTTTTGATTTCTTTTCCTTTTGGTAGTGCCATTGTTGATATTTCTTGTGCTGCTGCTGCTGCTGCTGCTGCTGCTGCTGCTGCTGCTGCTGCTGCTGCTGCTGCTGCTGCTGTCGCTGCTGATTCCGGTAGGCGTGCTTCTGTTCTCCACTGTGAGGCATGACGCAATATTGACATGTTAGCAGTGCGGGCACCTCTGGACTGTGAATTGCCCAATCACCTCTTTGACAGGTTTACGATGTGGTAAAGGATTGGTCAGGGGGGCCGCTTAAGAGTACCAGATGAAGGGTGCTGTTGTCTCCTAGTGACAAGATGCAGTCTCAAAGCGATTACTGCTGAGCATGTGCACCGCAACAATTCGGCTCAAGCACCGTCCGGGATGCCCTCCTCCTTGGTCACACCTGCGAGTCAAACGTCGTAGCTGCATTTACCCTTAGCTCCCGGAGTGTGCAAACTTGCAACTGTGTTTGTCTTGCTACTACGACTGGTTTCCTACTATTACTACTACGCTTATTTCCCATACGCTTGCAGTAGAGAAGTCGACTTGCCAGATGCCGGAGCTTTAGACATTAGAAGCCATAGCTTGTTCCTGGGATGCTACTACCTGACCCTAAACCTAAACCTGAACCCTAAACCCTAAACCCTAAACCCTAAACCCTGAACCCTGAACCCTAAACCCACACCCTCAAGCCCCCTGTAACTTGAAATCATTAGTAAAAATCAAAACAAAGAAACTCCTTGAACCTCCTCGAAACTTTCCTCGAAACTTCCCCGACCCTCAAGCCCCCTTTAACTTGAAATTATTAGTAAAACCCTTAGTAAAAAATCAAAAAAAGAAACTCCTTGAAACTCTTCGAAACTTTCCTCGAATGGCACGATGATGGGTTTCTGTTGGGTGTTCCTGGAACAAAGGCTCCTAACGGTATGTGACTGAACAGGACTAAACGGTACCCGGATTCCGCGACAGAGCCAAAGAGCCTCGCCGAGCGGAGGCGACCAATCCAGCAGGATTTCCGCAGTCTCGTTCATCTTGGGCGCCATATCGATGGGGATGATGGTGTTGTCATCCAGCAAGATCAAGGACTTGATCTCCAGGTACGCGAAATGCAGGTCTGTGTAGAACCCGGCTCAGGACGAGGGATGCCATGGTTTCCCTCGTGGCAGCCGGTATCTTGCTCAGCAGCTTCTCTGTCACGATCGCCTCCGTCAGATTGTCGCCGAATGGGAGTTGCAACTTCTCTGCCTTTGCATCTACATCGCCCACATCGATGCTAGAACAGGATTTCAACATCGCAGCGACCAGAGAGCATGCTGATGTAGTGATGTAGTGCTCCTGCCTGTGAGGCACAAAGGGCTCGATCAAGAAATGAGCTGACCTGTGACATGCTCCACCTGTTCTTCCTTGCACATGGCGGTTCGTCCCGCCTTGCCACGATGCTTGAACTCATCAACCTTTGCCACAAGTTTGGTCGTCTGCAGCCATGAGTTTTCCTTCACGATGGTGTCCCAAGTCTCTCCACTGGTGCTGTCTAGCAGAGCCGGAGTCACGAGGACGCCCGCACATCCCATCTTGTGCTTGCCTTTGGAAACCTGGGGCAAGAACCTCTCCAAAAGGCTCTTGCCTGCATGCTCGCGGATGTCTCGGGACATTTGCTTAAACCTTTTCTCACCTGCTGTGCAAAGAACGCATCTACGCTCTTGCGGGCAAAGATGTGGGAGATTCCTAATTTCATTGCATTCCGGAAATGTCTGCTCGTAAAACCTTAGCTTCGCAAACTAAACCCTGTAAGGCTCACTAACGCTGCTACATCTTTTTCCTACGAAGCTGGCTGGGGCCGGGGCTTGCAGCGAAAGGCATAGAAAGAAACGCATACACACACATGTAGCAACTGAGCCTCATGTGCTGCAAAAACAACGAAAACCCCGTGGATTACCGATCAATTGCCTTGACTTTCTGCTCGGCCTTGATCTAAACTTAACTCGGCGAAGCGTAACTCCCGACTTGCACTGGGTCAAAACAGAAGGCTGCGAACAGCTCGGCACCCCAAGCTCTTGTTTCGAAGCTCGTGTGGGAACGCTCAGCCTTCGGCTTGGAATCTGAATCTGAGAACGCGCACAGGATGGACTTTCCCACATCCCAACCACCTGTGAGTCGAATCCGACCTGCGGACTCGGGGAGGCTGTCAAACAGTCAAACTTGTCGGCAGCTCGATCAAAGAAAGCACCAGAAATCGGGTGCTGGAACTTGAGTCAGACGAGTCGCCCACAAAGCCAACGAGTCAAGCATCCTTCTCTTCTTGGGCTGCTGCCCCGCTACAGATCTTTAAGCCCATGTAGATGTGGCTTTGGAGGCATGCTCGCGCACCAACGCGAGTGCTTGGACGTCACAGACTTTGGCAACATAGCATATGTGACTTTTTGCAGGTCAGAACCACCCAAGCCTCAAGCCCTTGCCTTGCGCAGCTGCTGGACTACGCAAAAGAAAGTCTGGAGATGCCAGGCAAACTGTGTTGGTCGTCGAAGGCCACAAAATCACTTCTCCGGAAGACATTCCCCACAAAGAATGGCTCATGTTGTCTTTTTGCCTTCATGAAGTAGAATGTGTCTGAAAAGCAGCCGACACATACAGGAATCATTTGAGGCATCTTAGCGGGGAATGTCTCGGAGTACTCGGATCCCTCTTTGTCGGAGGCCTGCCATGACGGACATAAAAAAACTGTTTGAAGAAGGAAGAACCGCGCTTGGACTACACTACAGAAACAGCAGGAGGTCCCTGAGGTCACTGTGCTCCACACATGGCAGGGCAACGCTTGTCGCAGCTCCGGTGAGGATGCATACTGCCCAAAATCGATCCCAGAGATGATCATGTCGCCAACTCGTCACAACGGTTTAGGGTTTAGGGTTTAGGGTTTAGGGTTTAGGGTTTAGGGTTTAGGGTTTAGGGTTTAGGCTTCACCCAGACTTCACCACTTCGCTATTGGGGTGCTACTGGCCCGCAAGCCGTATAAGAGCAAGTGGCGCCATGCTGTCAATTGCGGAAGGCTCACAAAACACATGCTGCTGTCAGGCTTAACATGGATCATCCCTTTGCACTTGATTAAATCAATTCGGCGACCGTCAACGATAACGGCCTGCTCATGGAACAAGTCGAATATTGAAGTTGCGAAACGCTCCAGGGCCCAATGTGAACCTGATGTAACATACGCTCACACTCTTAGCCTGCAAATGAACTCGCCACTCACCTCTGAGCCTGTCTGAAGCCCCCTGGACGGCTTGGATTGCCACCAGGCCCTGGTTTCGCTCCGGCACGTGACTTGACGATCTCCCTTGTCAATGACGGCGACAGAAATGGGCCGCCACTGCTCTACAAAACCCTGCGAGATGTCTGTGGAGAAGCTGAGAAGCTGATCTAAGCTGATACAAGCTGCCAGACTGGACTTTTCAGACGGAACCTTAAGAGAGGTATGTCAGCCGGAGATCCTCATGCATCAATGAAAGCCCTCACCAGGCACACAGGGATTCTCCTGCCAGGATTGCTTGAAGCTGTATGGGCGTTCGACATCTGGATTTGGCCAACGCACAGCCTGAGCTCATACATGCGAAGGCCAGTTTGCCTTGGCTTAGGCGACTCGTCATGCATTTTTTGGCTCGATGGGTCCGAACTGTCATGTCACGTTTTTGTGGTGCTCCTCCAAGTGGATGGCTGCCACGTAGGCCTGCAAGCACAGGGCAGCACGCTTTTTTCTCCCACTGGAGGGTCTGTTTTATTCAACAGTGGATGCGAAAAAATGGACTCAAGCTGCAGTTTGTCAGAACCCGCCCCGGCCTCTGGACTTGGCTCGGAAGCAGCAGCCAGGGCGCCCAAGATGGAAGGCTCCCCAGGATGACACCTTCAAACCGAGGTGCTTCTAAGAGATGAGAGAAAACGAAGAGATCGTTGTAACAAAAACTCACTTCTATATATATATATATACCTTAAGGCCTCAGGGACTGCAGGTACTCCACGCGGGGCGCTTGGTCGAGGTTTACACGTGGCTCCTGAACCAGCTCCGAGCACATGAGAACGCAGCGTGGTTGCTACAGACCACTGCCCAGTGAGTCACCGTCTTTCGAATACAGTTTCCATACGACAGGTCCTCACATGAAGAGCTGCCAACAAGTGACAGTGCACTCCACCGTGACGACCTGGAACAGAGAGGTGAAGCACATTCTGAAAAGTGTCGTGTGATGTCGCGCGCCTGCAGTGGTCCGCTGAGAGCAGAGTGATTAGCAGAAAGAGGGGGAGAAAGAGGGGGAGTTGGGGTGACGAGATGAGCAGCACTGCGAGAGCTAGCTCTCGCATGACTCTCGGCACCAACGCCTTCTTGGTGAAGAGGGCGCTCCATTCATACTTTGGGGGCTTCCGAAAATCCGGATACCGCATTGGGCCCTTAGTATAAGGGGAATCCTTCCTTTTTTGGGGGATTTTTTTGTAAGGGGTCCCCTGATCTTCAGAAACTCTCATGTAAGACTGCAACGAAAGCAACGCTCGGAGCCAAGGCCTCGATGCCCAGGGAAAGAAGCAGCCCTGGCCTGGAAAAAAGCGACGCAAAAAAACAAAAAAAAAAAACAACTCCAACTCCCCTTTTTTCTCTGGTCCCTCCCCTCCAACCACTTTCCCTGCTCCCCTCATTATCCCATTCTCTCTTTCATCCCTCCGCTCTCCAGACAGAACACTTCAGGAAGTGATGCACGCTGGAGTCTCCAAATTGGAGCTGCTTTAAAGTCAGTGCACAGAGCACAGCTCTCGCTGTTGCGCCTGTGCTTTGCGCAAGATGCCGGTGGTTCTGCTTGAGAAGCATGTTCCTGGAGAGCAGATTGGCAAGACGAAGCAGCACGCCTCGTGAAGCCTCTGAATTTGGAACTTTTGGTTTGCCTGCCGCCCGGTATTTTGGAGCGGGGAACACAAGATTTTGAATACATGTTGACTGAATGTTTCATTCTAGGAGATGGTTTGCCATTGTGTCTTCTTGCATCCTTTGTCTTGCTCTTGCGCTCGGCATAGCAATGCACGTCGTCTCCAAGGTGTATATCTGTATATATGAGAGCATATGTGCAGCACATGCTGGTGCTGGGTATACGTCCATCTAGAGCTTCGTGCGTGAGATGTTGCCAACAACCTCGTCTCCGCCAAGACATAACCCCAGTTTACCCCAGGTGAACGGTCAACCTGCAAGCACCAAATTCCAATCGCAAGTCAAACAAAAAAGGCTCGTCGTGTCTCGCAAACGTAAACCATGCAGGTTGATCCTCAGCATTTGTAAAGGAAATCAATCTGAGATCTACGAGGCAATCGCTGTTCGTATGTCGATCCGCACCTGAAGTCGATCACTCCCAGGCTCCTCACGGGGGAAGGACTTTGCATGACTCGGGGATCCGAAGGTAAACGTGCCGTGTGCCTTCAGCATGAAGTCATGAAGCAAACCGAGCACGGGTTTGGGAGCCTATGTGGCGCGGCCGCATCGTACAGTCGCAGCAAGCCTTGGGACAGCAACTGCCATAGGAACGGAGGAACACATGACAGAACAAACGGTACTTGCATGGACCTACATATCGTGGAACTCTGACGTCTGAAGGAAACACGGCAGAGAAAACCTAAGAAACGCCTTTTATTAGAGATGAGTACGGCTGAGCGTGCATCGTTTGATGTTCACAAGACCATCGTTGTTGGACAATTCGCTCCATTACAATACGTCGGTCCATTGCGATCCCTTCTTAGAAGTCTTCCTTCTTTGCTGGCGGACCATGTTCATGCTTCTGGGCTCTGCCTGCTTGCGTGCATCAATTCCTGAATGCAAGACCCAAAAAAAATTCGACACGCTGCATCCGCGGGGCTTTCGTTGGTAGCGACTGTCGCCACCTGCACGCAGCTTCTCTCACTCGATCAAACCCCTACGCTACAGCAATCACTCCAATCTAACAGGCTGCCGCGAACGGCCTCAAGTCTTTACTCAAACTGCTGAAGCGGCCAGTGGCTTCTTGGAGAACCACGTAACGCTCGGGAAGGAAGGGGGGGTTTCTCAGAGAGGCGCACCACTTCGCCCCCAGCGGCATACAGGGAGCGGCGGTAGTTGATAGAACCTCACCGCCACGCAGCTGCTGCGACTAACAACCGTCAGCAAGCCAAGCAAAGACATGCCAGAACGTTGATGTTTCCAAGAAGTCATCACGCAGCAGCCCTTAAACAAACACAACACACCCATTCCTCTACTGTCACTACTGTGAAAGGAAGATGCCACAATCGTTGAGCAACAGCAACGAGTCTCCCTGGATCTATGTGTGTGAGTTCCAAGCCGTTATTCTACCTCGCGAAACTGCCAAGACAAACGTGCAACCGAACGATGCAAAAACGGCGGTTTGCTGCGAAAGGCGTGCGGGCGAGATCATACGAATCCTTCCTCTACACCTTTGCAGGACAACCACATATTTTCCGGCTATGAAGGCACTAACGAACTCTGAAAACATGGAGATGTTATAAAACACAGAGAAAAGGGAGCTCAGAAAAATGCCCAGGCGCTTCCGAGGGCCGGCACGGGGAACTTTGAGCCTCGGAAGCTTCCAATTGGCACACACTTGCAGATACCATTCCTCCTCTAAGAAACTCTTCAAAATGCAAGAAGGAAGGGCGCTCCCCTTATAGCCTCCCAAATCACATATGTCAATAGCATTAGTATTCATAATACGAATGTGAAGATTCATGACGAGGATATCAAAAATATAATATAACCCAGCACTAATATAAGACAACAATCTCAAACTAAACTCCCCTAAACCCTAAACCCTAAACCCTAAACCTGAAACCCTAAACCCTAAACCCTAAACATTATGGCTCTCTCTCCTCTCGGCGCTCTCCTTGCTCTCGGAGAGTCACTTTTGCACACCAAGTGCGGGGCCTGGTCCACGCTCTCGCAAATCAAACTGTCGTAGTGCCTGCTCAGCAGCCAGCGCACCCCCCCGATTTGTTTCAGGGAAAATGGGGAGGGTAGTCTGTTTGTAGAGACTGGGTGTAGAGACCCTTGAGGGTATTGAAATGTGAGAGTGCGCGCAGTCTTGCGCAGTTCATGAAAAAGCCAAGCTTGAATGGTTATGCAAGACTTGAGCTCCCCCCCGGTCTTGCAAAACAAATGTAAGGCTGCTGTAGGGAGCCTGATTGGGCGAAACCTTCGAAAAGCAATGTGCTTTTGCGTCGTCCTCGCTTTTTAAGGAATCACCGCTTCTCAAAGACACTCCGCTTGAACTCTTGGGGCTTTGTCATGTTCGACTTCGAGCCTCGTCGACGCCGGAGACCAGCAGCCGAGAGTCGTCTGGTGAGAAGCAGCACCTGATGCCATTGAGCTCTTGCCATTTCGTGCTTTCTGCCAAGGTGTTGCAACAATTGGTGTTTGTTGTGATTTGTGTAAGGTTCTGCTGATTTGTGCAAGCTTCTGCAGAGTTTGGACAGGGTACCATGCGATGTGCTGAACTCACAGGCACCCTACAGACTCCAAAGGCCAAGCTGCAGCTGACAACACTCTACTGCTCTCAACACGAAGCTCCGCAGACGGTTTCTAAGTCGCCGACATGACCTGGGCCAGCGGCTGAGTTTGATGTGCTTGAGGGCTCTTTGGAAGGGCAGTCTGAGTCACTGAGCACAGGAAAGACGACCCGCATCGCTTCGGGGCTCTAGAGCCGATACAGCGGGTTCCATCGGGGTTCTGGGGCGTCACTTGCGCAGCAACTAAACTGAGCACTTTTGTTCAGTAAACTAAGTGCCGCCAAAGCCGCATTTAACGTGTCCGTGCTGCAGCAGGCAACCGGTTTATCCGCGTTCAGATTGGGATCTCGAAGATCCCAGACCTGTCGGCACAAAGCGCGTCATGTCTCGGTATTCCTGGAATCTCAAGAGTGGGAACCCAGTCGGTGGGCTCAGCACATCTTTCTTTTGGGGACCCTGGAATCTAGTGAGGTGAGTGGGAGTTGGGAGGGAGCGACGCTCGCAGAGGTCCCGGTTGTTTGAACAGTCAAGTCGGGATAGCCAGGGTGTGAAACATTTTTTTCGGAAGAATACCATGGCCACTGTGCCGTTAAGTCTGCTGTTGCTGTGGGCTTTCGGGTTTCGGGCTTGATCTCAAGAATCGTTAGCTGTAACTCAACAACACGGCGGGTGTCCCGAAAGCGTTCGAGCTTTCTTTAGAGCAATAAACAAAAGGAGCTCAACACATATCGACAAATATGACTTTACATAACTACATCAATCAAGACACATGCACATGTGCATGTCTAGATATGCAAACGAAAAAAAAGAAGACATGCGAAGTTGAAGTGCAGCCTACCCTCCGTCCTGAAGCCTAGGTTGAGAAAAGACTGTGCAAGTGCCTTGCAGCATGAAGCGAGCACAGCGCTAGAGAAGGCCCCTGAAGGCCCGAAGACTCACAAAATTGGGTTGAGGACTCCCGGCCCTGCGCAGCCTTGCAGGTGTGATCGAAGGACGCCGTTGCAAAGAGCTGCGGACTTGGCGGCGCGACACAAAATCACCAACTGCTGCTTCTGTGAAAGCTGGGAGGATGCCGTTGAACAGCTGGGAGAAGATAACCCTTCCCCTGACAGGATATTGAGACGGGCGGAAGGAGGTTCAATGTCAAGGAGGCTGGTAGAGCATAGTCTTGACATACGACTGTAAAAAAAAACAGACATGTGGCACTTGAGAGGTGACATTGGCCTGAAGGCTTTGTTTGAAAACGTTGCATGAAGCTCTATAACTCGATCCCCTTGAACACCTTTTTGGGAGTTTTGATTTGAAATTGCTAGCATTTGCTGGCAATTCGAACAGAGTCTTGCAAAGAGCTGAGAAGCGCAAATTTCAAGATTCACCGGCACTGCAAAAAGGTTGCCTTCAGGCGCTTTCACCGCCAAGCTCGGACTCTACCCCCATCTCAGCAACCTGCCAACAGCCCTTCTTCTGAGGCACGTGCGTTCGGTGCGAAAAGCCTGAGTTCTGTTTGTTTGGGGTTTTAATGGTTAAGGCTCTGAATCGGCATCTCGCGCTACTCACGCAGCTCCAAATAGTGCCAAGCGGCGTAGAATATTGATAAAGTTTTGGTGCAAATTCCGGAACGTCTTGATGCGCCGTCCTGTACGGGCGACGAAACAAAGCATGAACAGCGGCTGTCTCGAAGCTGGCGACGCAGCAGCTCTAACTGTCTCTAACTTGAACACCGATACACACAAGTGTCTTGTATCTGAGTGATGCCTTCAAAGTGCCAGTGCGAGATGCATCGAGATGCATCGAGATGCATTGCTCCAGATTTCCCCTGCATTTCTCGGGGGGCAGAGTCTCCTGTCACCACGTCGTAGAGCCCAACGTCGATGCAAAAGCCACTCGTCATGAAATAGTCGTCTGTACCTCTTAAAGTCTTAAGTGAAGCCACAAAGCGAGTGAGCCGAGACTGGGCTGGGGGGTCCAACTCCTTCGAGGGCCCAGAACTTGTTTATAAAGCTTCAAGTCAGCTTTCGCCCCCTGGCGAAGTTTAAAGCATTTGAAGCTGAAGAACTGACCAAATCGAATCAGAGACTCTGGAACCCATAGGCGCACAGTTCATAGACAGCGATGACAATTGCTGAAAGGGCTCCAGCTCCACACCTAGAGGCTTCTCTGTTTCAAGAGCAAGAAGCGAGAGTTTATCGGCGTGTACCACATTGAAACACTTGCTGCAAAACGTCCAACTCGCAGCCAGTCCTGTCATTAAGCAAGACCTTAGACAACCAAAGGTCGATATTCTTCGATAACTGCACTTTCATTTTCACGAGGCAAACTCTGACCCGTGTTTGGTCAGCGCACCGCAGAACTCCCGTGCAGCTCCCTGCAGCCAGCTGCTGTTGAGACACTGTGTAGCTTTCCTGGAAGCCCCTCGTCGTAGCGCAAGAAGCGAATGACTCCAGACTGGGATCCTCTGCAGAGCAATCTAAACAGCACGAAATGCAAAAACAAAAAACGCGCGAACACGAAGAACACGCAGTTTTCCTGACTCAGAGAGGGAGAGAGGGAGAGAGAGAGATAGAGAGAGAGAGAGAATGAGCGAGAGCGAGAGAGAGGAGAGGGAGAGAGGAGAATGCGTGTGTGTTTGTGTGTGTGTTAGAGTTCGAGGCTCTGTGGAGCGGCTCGCAGGAGGTCCCCGCAGGAGCGTTTCGCTAGTCTCAGCTACCGCAGCACATCCCAGTACTGACATGATAGACATGTCTTGGTATCAGCACCTCCTTTAAGGACAGGCTTCATCTTTTGAGAGGTTTTTCACAACTATCGCTGTTCGATTTTCCGCTGAGTTCTCCATTGGCTTGACCCTGGCATCCTGTGCACATGCAGCCGGCAAGAAGGCAAGAAGCAATGTCAACCAGCAAGGCATGACAAGCCCGCAAGCCTCCTACAACTGCCCACTGCGGCAGCGTGTGGAACCATGAGAGTCCCAGTATGGGAAACTGATCTACGACCTGGGCGCAGGGGCGGAGATGACATTCCCGGGACTCAGAAACTGTACTGCTGCTGCAAATCTGAACATCATGAAGACATCTCATCGCAACTGGGCGACTTGCTGCATTGCATTGTAGACAAAGGCACCAGGTGGTCATTTTCGGTTGTATGTCCGAGGTCCAGGCACAGCTGTGCGTCATGACATCTGTTTCGTAGTTGATGATCCCTGCAGTACCTGTCACAAATTGTCGCACTGTCTGGTGTCTGAGAGCCCGAGCCCTCTAAGACCAATCCCGAGGAGTACCGTCTTTCCTGCCGACCAACATGGTCCCTGGCCGCAAGGGGTGAAACCTCAGAGATTTCTGCACCATTGCGCTTTGCCGTCATGGGTTGGTGGTGGTCGCCGTGCAAGCTGCGATGGCAATTTGGGGCGTTCCAAGCAATGGTGATGCAGTGAGCTGCCCTTTGGCAGACGAAACTGACAAAAAAAAAACAACAACAGTCCATGGTTGATGAGATATGCGGGGAATCGAGTGGCATGAGTGCGGCAAGGAAGGCCCAAGCCCGTGGCTCGAACTGACGGGCTCCTCGGCTGGTGAGCAGCAAGCGGCGCGAGTGCGCGACCTGGCCGTCCAAGCGGGATCCTTAGAGCCTTACATGCAGAACTTCAGAACTATGCAGAACCGACAGAATCGCCCTGCAAGCGCTGTTCGAAACAGGAACAGGTGCCTACACGCGCGCTGCACTCCAGAGGGTTTCAAGGCATTTTCGGGCTTCAACGTTGCACCTCACCCGGCTCCTCCAGCTTGCCCCTGGTGCGTCCTATGAGAGCTCGCACAACGCACCAACAAAGCGCCGCCGAGCTTAGCGAGGCTTGTTGGGGGGGGGGGGGGGGGGCGCGGGGGGCGCCTTTTGCGAGGGGAGGGGACGCTCCTAGAAAGCTGGTTGCACACCCTAGGGTTTTGGCATGAGCGCATCAAACAGTCGTCCTGTTGATGAGGATTGGCAGGTTGACCTGCCAAGTTGAAGAGACGCATAGAGACTCTTCCTCTGTATCCCTTTGACTTGTCTTATTTGTCTTCCCTATACTCTCTTGACACTCAGAGCCCATGGGTGAACAAGGTTTAGACCAGTAGACCAGAAGGAGCCGAGAGTGAAAGGTTAGAGGGGTGATGTGATGGCAAAGGTTCATGTCATAGTTCATGTCACGCATCTGTCGCGAGGGGCGGATCTAGAGTTTCAACGGTGTCTTCCAGTTGGGGCTCCGGGGGTGGAGGAGCTACCAGACATCGTGTGGCTTGTGTGCCAAAGCGTTCGCAAAGCGTCCCACAAACGTCCGCGATCGAGCTCCGGAAGCCCAACGTGTTTTTTGCAGCGTTTTGCTGCCTGGCGCGTCTATGAAACGTGCTGACATTCACGAGGATGAGGCCTCTTAGTACCCGCAGATGCCATCCTTGTCTGTTGTTCCCCTTTGAAACCATATGACTCCTTTCTGAACCCATCATACGAGTTTTTTCGTGTTTCAAAATGAGGAGGGGGGGGTTCTCCCGGGTTCTCCCCCCCCCCCCCCCCCCCCCTCTCTGACCTCCGCGCTCCTTTAAGCCATGCACGCTTGCTTCTTCGAAGCCGAAGGAACCGGCTTCGAACCCAAATGTGAGACTTGTGACTTGGGTTTTTGGGGGGAAGAAGATGTATTAAGCTAGAAAGAACCAACAGATGCTGAATGTATCGGAGCCAGATGCCCTGTGCGGTCGTGCTGTCAAGCGTGAAATCTTGCTGTGTTTGCTGGGGCATGCTGGGGCATGCGGGTTCTGAATGTAGCATGTGGCCTCGGTGGTATGGCAGGGAGTGCAAGCTCCTCGGAGGCGGCCGGAACACGACTTGAAATCAGCTTCAATTTCCTAGCAAGCCTCTGCCGTGAGATGCAGTGCAGAGAGGCCGGAAACCTGCTCCCACCCCGCGGCTCCTCTGCTAGAGCGGCGGAAAGGCGCCATGGCCTTTCACTTTCATCGTGATGAAGCGCATGTCATGTCAATGCGACACCTAGGAACGATCTGAGCTTCAGCATTGAGAGCTTCATAGAGCATCTGCATCAGCTGAAACTTGGGTTGTGAGTTGCTGCCTCTCAGAAAAGTGTTTGATCTTCTTAACTTTTCGCTGCAGCTCAGAGTTGCACAAGGCGAGCCTGGCTGCCCTGGGTACTGGCCGCTGCGAACAGCGCTGGAGCAGCACCAATGGCTGAGCCTGTCAGAGAGATCTCTCGCAAGTTTTGGGCCCCAGCCCTGGGGGGGTTTAAGGTTTGCCTCTGCGGTCCTTCGTGTGAGTCCCCCTACACCTCGGAAGTCCCTCACTTCGTGTTGCCACTCCAGAATCCCATCCCAAAGTCCGAGCCTGCTGTGGCCTCAGCTCTGCTGAGTTGTCCTGTTCCAAACGATCTGCAGGACTCTTATGCTCAAGCGGGACAATCTTCTAGTGAGAACGAGCAACAGCTGGAACTCTTGTTCCCGCATCATCTGCTCAGCTTTGCACAGCACGGCTGGGCCTCAGGGTCTATCCACTGTGGCCTTGCCGACGTGCCGGGGACCCGAACCTGGCTGCGGAACAAACTCTCAAAAAGAGCCTGGAGCATCTGCACGGGCTTGGAAGCACTTGTGTCGAAGAAGAAGCAGATGCCTCCCGAAGGAGCAATCGTTCTGCTTGGGTCCATCGCAGGTCCTCCCAAGCGCGCTTCGTTGCGTCTGAGGGATTCTCCGATCTTTTGCCGGCTCCGAGCAGGGACTCTCGTCTTGCTCTCTTCTGCAATTCTCTTTTGCAATTCTCTTCTTTCTGCTTCTGCTTCTCGATTTTGCCCCGAGGTCCCGGAGCAGCGCGAGGCCGAACTCGAGGTCGGCGGGTCTCTGCGGGTCCTGAAAGGCAACATGCTGCTTTTTACTTTCAGCTTACGAGGGAGCTTTTCTCAACATTTTGTGGGGACAACCTTGCGCTGCATGGGGCCAGTGAAGGGTCGTACGGTTAGCCAACCCAGCTTAAATTCTTCTGGGGCGAACACGACGGAACCTCTTCTGTGGAGGGTGAACATGTCGGCACACCATGTCGAGAGAGAAGAAGAACGTTAAGCAGCGTTTGTGAAAACACATCTTGAAAGAGAAAGCAAAAAGACAAAAGTTGAGGGCACCCTCCTGGCCTGCGCGTTGGCAAGCCACGCGTGGGTGGCGCGGAAGCCCAAGGCTGGCAGCTGGGCTGAGACAGCCTCCCAAAGTGACGGGCGAGCACCGACCAAATTTGCAGGGAGAGTGAAGGCAGCGTGGGATGCAAAATGCAAGGAATTGACCTACAATAAACATCGCATGCCAATGAAAGAGCCTAAGCAAGTCTGACGCATGGGTACCAGCGGTAGTATGGCGGTAGTATGGTGATGCTCTGCATGCACCTAGGGGCCACGGGCAGTGTAACAGTGCGCCTTGCAGAGGTCGCGCACGGTCACTTCAGCCGCGGGCTTCTTGCCGGCGATCTGGCGCAGACATCGGGCGCTAAGGTACCGACCAAAGGCAGTCTGTTTAGGCACAGAGGGTGTCGTTTTTCGCGTACTCCATGCCCAGAAAAGTCATCTCTTTGCTCTCCGCGCTCCACAGAACTGGAGCGCAGACGTCTGAGTCTGCAAGAGCCTGAACTGGCAGAAAACACCTTGTTCCCGACCCAGGAGACGCCTAGGCCACCTCTATTCCCCCTTGTGGCCTGCAGCCACGTGGAACTCGTGCTGCACTGCTGTGACCAGAGCTCCACAAGCCATCCATCTGGACGACCTCTGATGGAATCTGATGGGACTCCCACTTGTTCTCCCAAGTTACGTCATTCGAACTCGGTCTGTCGAAAAGGCAGTGCCGGTGGCTCTACGCGGAAAAAGATGCCTCGGGCGAACACCGGAGAGAGCAGAACTCAAAAGTACCAGCAGACAAGAAAGGAACCAGTCCTTGGGCACCCTGGGCCCCTTGGGCCCCGGACCGACGCCGAAAGGGCTAAGAGATCCGGGCCGCAGCTCCAAAGCAGCCCGAGCCAACGCGAGCGGCCTGCGAGATTTGGAAACGTCCTTAAGTGACTTTGACTTTAAGTGACCTTAAGTTACCTTAAGTGACTTTAATTGACTTTAAGTGACTTTAAGTGACTTTAAGTGATGTTAAGTGATGTTAAGTGACTTTCCCAAAGAGGACTTGAAGCCGGCTTGTCTAACCAGCCTCCAAGGCAATGCGCGATCACCCGGCCACTCCGCCAGCGCCTGTCTTGGGAAGCTTCCCGAAACTCGTGTGTCAAACGAGGGCGAAGAGCTGTGCTGTTTGCCGCTTCCGGAGGTTCTGGCCTTTGCCTTTCACTTTCCTTTCGGACTCTGTGAAACCCAGGCCAGCTACGCAGTGCAACGAAACGAAAAAGGGGTCATGTCTCTTGCCCCCCTCAGACGGGTCCTGAGTAAGACTCCATCCCTGGGACCTGGCCTTCGTGCTGCTGGCACCCTGGTAGAAGCCTGCGAGGCACAGCGCAGGACCTGGTGCAAGAGCCCAAGAGCATGGGTATGCTGGCCCAAACTGCTCGGAAGAAGTCTGTCGATGAGATGCGGGCCCGGGGGAGGGGGGGGGCACAGGCAACTCCGGGGTGTGAAACTCTTGGGTGTCAGGTTGGGGCCTGGTCGGCCGACAATGAGCTCGCGCAGCCTTGGAACCACCTAGGTGAGGGCGCAAAGATTCGCTAAGTCCATTACGTCTTAAGCATCGTGTTGCTCATAAGAGACAACTGTTCGGAGAAACCAACGGGAAAGATCGAGACACCCCTCGAGGTTTGCAAGAAAAGGCTTGCAATGTTTGCCAAAGCCATTAAAAAATTTGAAGTGAGCTCCGCAAAGCTTCGCAGGGCTTCGAGGCTTCGAAAAGAGCTTCGAAAAGCAAGACCCTCGGCCCCCCCGCCTTCGTACTCAGCAGGCTTGTCAGCTTCGCCTGAAGGAGCGCCGAACTGAAGAGGCTCTGCTCTGCGAGGCGCTGGACCAGCTCCTTGCAATGGGGAGAACTGCCGCAGGAAGCTTTTTCACAGACTCTCATTGCAGAAAAGGGTTGGTTTGGGTTCAGTTTGGGTTAGGGCTGGGTTCGGGTTGGGTTTGGGTTGGGCTTGGTGGGGGTTTGGTTTGGTCGGGTTGGGTTGTGTTGTGTGCGTGTGTTTGTGAGTGAGTGAGTGAGTGAGTGAGTGAGTGAGTGTGCGCGTGCGCGTGCGCGCGTGCGCGCGGGCGCGCGTGCGCGCGGCGCGCGTTCGCGGCGGTGGCGGCGCCGGGCGTGGGCGGTGCGCGCTAGCGCTCTTTCCGCGCATGGCGTGGGCGTGGGCGTGGGCTGGGCCGTGCTGTGGTTGTGGGTGTGGGTTGGGTGTGTGGGTGTGGTGTGGTGTGGTGTGGTGTGGTGTGGTGTGGTGTGTGTGTGTGTGTGGTGGTGTGGTGTGGTGTGTGTGTGTGTGGTGGTGTGGTGTGGGTGTGGGTGTGGGTGTGGGGGTGTGTGGGTGTGTGGGTGTGTGGGTGTGTGGGTGTGTGGGTGTGTGGGTGTGTGGGTGTGTGGGTGTGTGGGTGTGTGGGTGTGTGGGTGTGTGGGTGTGTGGGTGTGTGGGTGTGTGGGGGTGTGGGGGTGTGGGGGTGTGGGTGTGTGTGTGTGTGTGTGTGCGTGTGTGTGTGTGTGTGTGTGTGTGTGTGTGTGTGTGTGTGTGTGTGTGTGTGTTTTGTGTGTGTCTTGCTGAATCGCACACGACGAAGCAACAAAGTCGGAGCATGTCGGAGCCCCGGTTTTTGCTGCAGCTGTCTTCTGATGAACAGAACGCATGACCCGGGGCTACGCATCACTTGGTCGTCTATGGGGGGTTGCAGGGTGGAGTTGCGACTCGGCTCCTGATGTTCAGGCACGCGGGCCATTGCTTCTTCCTGCGCGCGCTCTCAGCCCTCTCAGTGCACTTGTGGCATGCACGATGGAGCTCGGCTAGCAAACGCTAGAATCCACTAGGATCATACAAGCAACGAGGCGAAGCATGCTGCCCTGGCTCCACTGCCCCCTTTGCCATCAAACAAGGCATCCTTCTTTCAAGGGATCGCTGTTTATCTTTGCCAGTGCCACGGCAGCCAAGCAAGCCAAGCAAGCCAAGCTCCAAAATCTACACCCTCTCCCCCGCGCCTGTGGTAATGCTACGCGCACCTCCTCGCGACCTGAGTCGTCGAATTCCGGAGCGCAGAAGCATCTTTTTGGAGGAAAAAGTGAGTCAGATGCCCTCTGTCCATAGCTGAACCGATCATTGCGGGGACCGGGCCGAGCTGCACCCAGGTGAAGAGGCACTTGCCAGGCTTCGCCTCGCGTCTTGTTTTCCAAAGGCCACGCAAAGGCAACGTAAGGCAGATGTACCTCTGATCCCCCGCTCTGTCACAGACACAGCATGCCCCAATCGCGAAGAGATAGCGAGTCGAATTGCTGAGAGCCGCCTTAAGGCACCAGAAATGGGGGTAGCATCTCAGCACATCTCCCAGAACCTACGCCTGTAAGCCTTGTGAATCGTCTGGTCTGCGCCTCAGCCTCGGCGTTCTGCTCAAAGAGGCGTTGCCATTTCAGGCCTTGGCAGATCTCTTTCGGAAGTTCGCAAATTTGCCCGTTGTCAAGACCGCAAGCAACCCCACAAGTGCACGGGTGCAACTCCCGAAGACCTGGCTCTGGGAGCCATAAAACTGAACGAGCAGAACAATCCTCAACTTTTTGTGGCCAAAGCCTCGAAGGTGTCATACCCAGCTAGGAGCCCCGAAGCCCTCAAACTGGAAACCCATTTTACATGTGTCCGGGTGAGGGCCCTTGTATTCCCTGTACTTCCCTGTATTGCTCGGTACCCTTCTCTAGGGCCCTTCTGTAGGGCCCTTCTCTGGCTTTCTGGCCTTCCTCAGAGTGCCGAGTCGCAGAGTTGCGGCGTTGGGCTCAAGCAGGAAAGGGAGCCTGCCAAGGTACTGGGATCCGGAACGGGCTGAGGGGACCACTGCATTCGAAGCCATGCCTTTAGGGACTTTAGGGAAACCTCTGACAATCCTGACTACAAAGCCTGTCGACCTCTCTTACACGCACCAAGGGTTGCATTCCACAACATGGCACAAGCTCCGCAGTGCTGCTTTTCTCACTTCCTTGCGGGTGTCGTAGCCGGCGTTCACTTAGCTGCGACTGCAGTATGCCGTGGCAGTTCTTTGCGGGTGTTTTACCTGGACGAGCCTCCCATCTTGCCTCGGCCTGATAAAAGCGCTTTGCTCTCGACGTGAGCTCATGCCACCGGGGTCCCACGGCTCTGCTCTCAAAGGCCAGAACATCCATGAGGTCATCCAAGACCGAAGGTCTCCTAAGGCGACCTAAGCGTTCTCCAGTGCGATGCGTCTCGGGCGTGTCGCGCAGAGAGGACTTGACGAAACTTTCGTCAGATGAATCGCAACTGTGAGTTGCGTCAAGGAAGGTGTGTGTGTGTGTGCACAACCGGCGCCACCCCGCGTCACCCCGCCCCCCGAGTACAAACACGCCTTCATGAGCGCATCACACCTTGCGATGAGCGCAACGTACGAATCAGGCCTTAGGAAGCGCGGCTGCCGCAACCCAGGGAGTGGGTGGCTGGATGGGTGACTTGAGAGTGCTGATGGGAATAGAATGTCCTCCCATTGCCAAAGCCAGGAAGAGGGATGGAGGGATGACATGCATGTTCTGGCTTTGGCCTGCCGTCTCGCCTACGCTAGCAAAGACAAAGACATGAAAGCTGGTGTTGGGCGAAGTTGGCACAAGGTAGCGCCAGCAAACCAAAGAGTGTCACGGCTTCTTCGCAGATGTTGGCGCAGTGATGCACCATGTGGCTCTTGGATATACATTCGCCTTGAAATGAGTTCAAGCAGACTCAAGCTGCCACATCAAACGACGCAACTCATGAGCAGACGCACGCAAAGTTGGACAACAAACTCGCCAACACAGCTGCCATATTTGGCCTGTGCAAGATCCCGAACAGTTTGCTCCGGAACAGCTTGGTAGATTTGGACATCTTTGGCCGCAAGTTCGTTTTGATTGGTTTGCTATTGACTTGCTTGACTTCCAAGCAGCAGCACGTACATGAGACTGAGTACACACGAAGATCCGTAAAACTGCAAGGTGCATGAACTCAACAGCGTGCTCCCGCTAATACCTGAACTGAAGCCTCTCACAGCCAGGAAAAGCTCATTGTAATTCCAGTCGAAGCTTGGTCAGTGATCTGTTCATTTCACGGGACGTCCACGCACGCCCACGCCAAGTGTTGCTTGAGAAGGCATGAAATGACGGTCTCCACCACATCAGCCAGACTTTCTCACAGACAAAAAAAGTGTATCGACTCCTAGCAGGTCCGTGCAGGCGAAAGATCAAACTGCAATATGTTCAACCTCCTGATCTCATTCTCGTTGAACGACGCGGATAGTTCGAGAGCCGTCTGCAAGACCCTGATTCCGCTGGAGCTGGCTCTGAAAATGGCAGCGTTTATTCGCTGCCTTTCGACTTCTTGGAAATGCAGCGCAAGCTGACAGAAACTTCCATTCGAAATACCTTTGAACAGCGTTTATCTTTGCCGGCCTTCGTCTACTGCACGAGCAAAGCCCTCAAAGTGGCAGAAGAAGTGCCACAAACGGTCCCTGTGCAGCCAGGCACTTGCAACTGTTCTCTTCTGCAACTCAAGGCGTCTCTTCACTTCGGGCTCTCGCTTCGCGCCTCTCGTGCTGCTGCACCATGTTGCGGCTGCAGATCAAGAAACCTCAGAAATTTAGGCACACGAAACCCGGCGAGGCGGGTAGCTTGCGCGGCTGCAGTGCTCCCACCATGACCATCCCTCTCCGCTCTCACCACGCCTGGCATATTGATGTTCTCCTGCTGTCAAAGCTGCTGCGAATGCTCTGAGGCTCGCGCGCATGAACCTGAGCTTCAACTCACTTCATGTGGCGCACTCCGGAGATACGGAATGGCTGTCAAAAACACGTGTTGTTGCTGGGAATGCCTTCGGTGGTTCTCCTTAAGGAACAAAATGCAGGTGCAAATCTGGGCTTTACGATTCGGCAGCTGGCATGTGCCATGCAATTGAGCGATCCAGCGTTCCTACGCAGCTATTTTGAAAAGGAGACAAGCCGATTCCTCATGCAACTCCATCTGCCTTCCGCTTCAGTCTCGAGGTCTGCAACGTTTAAACACTCCGGCTGATGGAGATATGGAGAGATGGAGAGCACGGCGATGAGCAGCTTTGCTATGTGCTACCTGTGTGTTGAGGATGATACTGGCAGCACTTTTGCATCTGCTCTGCTCTCTTGCGGTCAGGCAACTCGTGCGGCCGCAAGTGTAGCGAAGCGCGACCCCAAAGCTCCTTAAGCTGGGGCACAATGCCGGAGAAATCATCCCGAATGTAAGTTTCTTGTTCGTGTCCGCTAAATGCTGATTCGGAAGTCTTGTACTGTACCTTCGGGCTCTCCCAAGTCTGCTCTGACCATCTGAGAGCAGAGCTGGCGCGAGGGAAGACCATCGCACTGCACCTTTACGAGCAAGAAAAGCACCCAAACGCTGAGACATGTCTTTGCTTCCAACAAAGTTCAATCTGCAAACGATCTCCCTTGCAAAATCTCTGCGCAAGAATCGTTTGCGGGGGTCTGCAGCACAAACGCCGTGGATCACACCAACACACTTGGAAGGCGCAAACATATTCTCCGCCCTCGCCCAATCAACACCAGTAGGAACTGTTGATTATTACCGAAGCGGTGCCCGCACGGAGCATGTGGATCATGGCCGTGGTATGATTGTAATTTATGTGCTTCTTCGTGGGTCCCGGGTCATGCAACACGCTCAAGACATCCATGCACACGTGGCAACACTGCATCGCAGTATTGCTGATAAGGCAGAAGAAGCAACGCAGGTTGCACGAATCGTAGAGAATGTGGTTGGTGTAGACCGTCTTCCAAGTTTTCGTCTGTTCTACGCCAAGTCCCACCAGGATGCTTAACGAGGAGCACTGACACGGAGCTCCATGTGCAACGAGGATGTTACCTAGTTCTAGTAGCATCTTTCATGGGCCCCCTTTGACGGTGTGTCACTGTAACTATAAGACTATAGAATGGTGCCTTCTTCCTTGGGCATCACGCTGCTCGCCATCCCCCCCCCCCCCCCCACGTCCCGCCAGATGGACACTGGCTATGCTGCACGTATGTGTGTTGCAAAAAACACTGACGCTTGAAGCCCGCAGAATAGCGCAACACGACCGCAGAATAGGCGCAACGCGCGCGCAGTGTGAAAACAATGCACCCGCGGGACGCCGGCGGAGGCGCGGGGCGGCGTTCTTGGCATCAAAAAATCACAAGAGAGAAAAGTCACAATAAGCGAGTGCGGATGCGAAGGCCTACGCAGGACGCAGGAAGTGAGGCGCGTTTGTCTATTGATGCCACAGAGGGCATCATAAGGCAGAATGGCATAAGCAAAGGCTCCCTGGGCCCCTGCGCCTGCCGCATCCTCTCAGCGCCCTTCGCGCCCTCCACACTCTCACGCCCCCTGAGCCTTGAACCCTATAGCCCCAAGCTTTAAACCTTAAGCCCTAAGCCAAGAGCCCTAAGTTTAAGCCTTGAAACCCCATAAGCCCTAGACCCCAAGAAACAAAGTCACAGGTGAGTGAGTGTGGTTGCGTGAGGCAAGGCGCAACTGAGTTTTAGCAACCATGTAGTCGCAAGAGCAGCCAGTAGTCAGCAAAAAAGATAGTCGCAAGTGAGCTACAAAATTAGTCACAAGTTATGCACGCTCCATCGTAGTGAAGTTGTTCCACAGGGATCCGCAGGGATCAACTGTAGTAGTCTATGTGATCGCGATGCATTGCTCATCCAATGGTGGCGTGAGACTGCGAACACTGTACTGCAGCACGTGCTGCAAGTTGCATTGGAGTCGGCTTAGAAAGAGTTTGCAGCGTTGTCGTGTTTCATGAGCCGTGTGAACTACCTACATGCTGAACATGTCCTGGGTTGTTGGGTAGTTTTATTTATGAGGTCCGAAGGGTGCCAGGTAAGTAACTCAAGGTTCTTTAATTTTTCCCAAGGTTGAGGTGCCTCCCCCGTCGACCCTCCCGAAAATGGCGTACAGGGAGTGCACGGTTTTGGCAGCAAATAGCGGCAGGCGCAGGGTGTCCACAAAGCTACCAGCGCACGAGAGAACATCGTTTTTGGGTTGCAAAGCGCGATGATCCACGACTGTCTGGGCATGTCGCAGGAATCGAGTGGGTCGGAAACACGAGAAATGGGCTGTAGGATGCTCTTCCGCAGCTGGCCTGTGGAGTCCGGCATTGGCTCAGAAGGCCTTGCCCTCCTAGTATGGTCAGGTCAAAACAGGCGTGTCACAGCCTTCTTGCAGCTGATAGTTTAGCTGCTATGTCAGATTGGGTGTTCGCATCCGTTCTAGCGGCTAAAGCGCTGCTGCGTCCCTTGGCTTGTCGCCCCAATGGCGAGATTGATGTTCCTATGTGTTCCTTACGTAGCTGCTGAGTTCAAGGAGTCGCTGCGCCCACCCAGCAGTCGGCAAGTGGGCGCGCCGTGATCCGTTTTGAAATAAGTGATCAGGTGATTTCCCCACTCAGCTTGAGCCGCCAAAAAGCCGATGTTGGGACACAAAACCACCAAGAGAACCAAGAGAGAACTTGAGAATTCGACAAATTGAGTAGCAACTCCAAGCTGTCTGACTTGGTGCGAAAGGAGAATCTGCTGCGGGACATCAGGGACTCAGGAACGCACCAAACGCACAGGAGCTGGGTGGAAGGCAATGATTGGGGGAAGTCATCAGTGAGTCAAGGGTCTCTTTTTCTATGCTGCGCGTGCCATGCCGTGCAGCCTCCTTCGGTTCATAGCGCTCTGGCCGCTATGGCCGCGGGGTTCGGTGGATTGTTGGCTGCGCTTGCGACAGACAGGTCGGTCCCGTCGCCCCTAAGGGCAGAGACTGAGGCAGTCTCGCATAAAACCGTTTGGAAGTGACCTAATTCGCTTTTTGGACTGCCAATTCATTCTCACCGAAGATCCTGTTCATATAAACACCTTCTGTGAGTACGCTGGCTAGGGACCTCTGTCTGTCTCAAGCGTTCAGTGCCCTTCTATGGCAATCTTGCCCTGCTTTTACCTTGGGTCTATGGAGCATCTATCAGTTGCTCGCGTCGAGACTCGCACTTTGGTAGAGAAATCTAAGGGGGCACAAAGCATCTCGGCCCTATAGGGCGCAGGTTCCAGCACTCAGCTCCGGCTCCGTGACCGGGACCCTCGAGAGCCTCCGCGGGGGGCACCGCACCTCCGATGCAGCGCAGTGATAGTCTGATAGTAGGGTTAGGGTTTAGGGTTTAGGGTTTAGGGTTTAGGGTTTAGGGTTTAGGGTTTAGGGTTTAGGGTTTAGGGTTTAGGGCAGTTTAGGGTTTAGGGTTCAGCATCTAGTCCGAGCATTCACTAGTCAAGCAACTTGTCAAGCGTTGGAAAAAAAACCACCCACCCAAGAAACCCATAACATTGAGAAAATACAAAGTTCACTCAATACATTCCCAATACGCTTAAAATCTAACTCTCAACCCTACCAGCCCCAAGCCTCGAATTCTTTCAAACCTGTGGCGGGGAGATGGGATCCTGAAACTGGCGAAAAGCTCCGTTTTTCTTAAAAATCCAGAAAACGAGAGGCCACCCAGAACCGTCAATTTCAGTACTAAAAAAACGCATTTTCATTGTGGGCCCAGGCCAAGCCTGGGGTCCCCCTCATTTGGGGTGTTTTTGGAGGCAAACTTTCCCTCTCAAGGTGGGGTCGAGGCCAGGATCACCATTGCCGACTTTTGAGGCCAGGAAATTCACCGTTGCCGACACTTGAGGCCAGGAAATTCACCGTTGCCGACTTCTGAGGCCGAAATTCACCGTTGCCGACTTTTGAGGCCGAAATTCACCGTTGTCGACTTTTGAGGCCGAAATTCACCGTTGTCGACTTTTGAGGCCGAAATTCACCGTTGCCGACTTTTGAGGCCGAAATTCACCGTTGCCGACTTTTGAGGCCGAAATTCACCGCTGCCGACTTTTGAGGCCGAAATTCACCGTTGCCGACTTTTGAGGCCGAAATTCACCGTTGCCGACTTTTGAGGCCAGGAAATTCACCGTTGCCGACTTTTGAGGCCCCGACTTTTGAGGCCAGGAAATTCACCGTTGCCGACTTTTGAGGCCAGGAAATTCACCGTTGCCGACTTTTGAGGCCAGGAAATTCACCGTTGCCGACTTTTGAGGCCGAAATTCACCGTTGCCGACTTGTGAATTAGGGTTTAAATTCATTATGATAGAGAGGTTTAGGGTTTAGGGTTTCGGGTTTAGGGTTTAGGGGTAGACTTTATTGCCTTGACTCGCTTGAGTCAGAACACATCGTCACATCGGAGCATATTGCACTGGTGGATGCTGGCGACTCCCATTCGCTAATTCTGAGGTGACATGAAGCACACTGCGCCTGTCTCAACTGCAAAGCATCCCAAGAAAACTCAATTAAATTGGCTGGATGGGACAGGGGTCTACGAAAATAGGGGGCCCTTAATCTAGACCCCCAATAGTAGGATCCCCTTACAATAAGGACCCCAATAATTTTTCGGAAACCCCCCAGGTGTAACCCTTACCCGTTCAAACCTTGTGCCACTTGCTGCCCAAGTAGCTTGAAGCACTCGGTGCGACGGGCAAAGTTGTGGGCGCTACAAGACTTGCAGTACCTTTCT